GGGGAGCATAAGCTTTCATGGGTAAGAAGTGAGGTTCTTACCCACGAAAGCTTATGCTCCCCATACTTCTGTTAGTCTTAAAGGTGCCACAGGACCCTCTGTTGCTTTTTACAAACTCTTTTTTACATTTTGAGTGTGAACACCTGTGGTCTTCTCAACAAACAGGCCCGTCCTTTTCCACCAAAAGGTTCAAGTGCAAAGGGTAACAGAAAATGCTTAAAAAATTTTAAACTACATTTGCTTTATTTTTTAAAATGGCTCCAGGGAATGACAGGAAGAAGCAGTGCTGGTAATGGATCTAATTGGATGTCTGTCTAAAAACTATTCTTTGGTTCAATTACCAGATGTCATCTTGATTCAGGAATTACTGTGTGACATTCTTTTGCCTGTGTTATCCAGGAGAACAGTCTTGATAAGGCCAGAATGGACTCAGGCTCATAACAGTAGTTTCTATTGATCTCTCTCGTTCCTTATGGAGAATAATTTCAGTTATAAAATTGTAAGCACCTGAAAAAAAAGCACATTATTATACAGGATTAAGCAAGCACCTAAATGAATTAGGTGCTTAAGTCCCCTTTAAAGCCAATGAGATTTAGGCACTTCCCTCCACTTTTTTACTTTCTTGTCAGTACCATTTTAAATGGAGTGACATAAGTTTTAAAAAAATCCACAGAATTTACTTGCAGCAGTGGCTGAAGTTTACATCTGTTCAGAGGACCTGGGCAAAGCCTACACCCTACGTAAGGCCATGTGAAGCCCTCTGGGTAGGTGGAATTTAACAGGTGAATAGGCCTTATGCAGCCTAAATTTCACCCAGTGTGAGTTAGACTCAGTGCTACGTTGTTCAGAAGGAGAACTGATTCAGATTGTCATTATTTATTTAATACATTGTACCTTTACTTACTGTCTTATCCAATGGCAACTTACTGTTGTAGTCAATAGATCATATTTATTAAAGCAGGGGTCCCCAATGCGGTGCCTGCGGGTGCCAGGGTGCCTGCCAGGGCATCCATGTGCACCCGCCTTCTGGCCGCCAGACAAGCAGTGGCCAAAATGCCGCCAAGAAGCGGCAACGTCAAGAAGCGCTACCGCCGAAATGCTGCTTCACGGTGGCATTTCGGCAGCTGCTTCTCCAGCGGCCATGGTCCTCAGCGGCTAGTCGTCCGGCACCCGCCCCATGGAAAAGGTTGGGGACCACTGTATTAAAGTATACAGAGCCCACAAACTGTCCCACCCTATATTAAAAGGCACTTGCCAGTGAACCAGAAACAAACTAATGTTTGCCCTGCGTGAACAGGAAAGGCTTTGCAATATGATGCAAACTTCAAATTCAGGATTCATAGGCCATAAATGAGAGCTAGTTCCAAAGAGGGGAGGTGATGTGTCTAGCAAGAAGGAATGAAAGTTTCCAAATTCTTTTCATTTTAAAATATACCATTTCAAATTAAAAGAGACATTCAGTCAGGTCACATTTTTATTTTACCTAATTAAATATTTTATTGTATTTCTTACTAAATGAGAGGAAGGAAGGATGATGAAGGCACTTAATGGGATTTAGGTGGGTTCAGATCCTGACTATGCCACAGAATTTCTATATGACTTTGGGCAAGTCTTTGAATATGTGCCTCAGTTTCTCCCTTTATAAGGAGGAGAATATTTCCTTTCATCTTTTGTATTTAGACTGTAAACTCTTTGGGACTCTTATGTGTTTGCTCAGCATTAAGCACTAGTGGTAAAGGCCTCTGAGCTACAGTAACAACAAAAGTATAAATAGATATGTGGAAGCAGTTTAGATTTTTTTAAATAAAAAGCTAAGTCATATGTCTGCAGTTTTTTGCCTTATAATAGTACTAGTTTTTTAATTCAAAAATGTGTTCGGAAAGTTCTTAATCTTTCATTGTTCTGAAACCAGGTAGAGGCATAAGCCTTGTTTTCCCCCTAATTTCTCTTTGCACCTAGACTCATCTACAAAGTGTTGGGGAGTAGTTTTCTGGAGAACATCGGAGCTCCAACCCCTAGATTTGAGCTCAAACATGGATTTTTCAGGCTGTCTTTCATCTTTCAAAGCTTGAATGCTTCGTACTTGACAGAAATGACAATGCTTTCCATCATCTGAATTCAACTCAGCCCATTCTGGGCAGCTTTATTAATTATGTGCTTATCTTAATACCCCAGAAAATAAGTTATCCAAATGAAAATAGTGCGCTGGTGGAATGCTGAAATACAGTAACCATCCATTCCATTTACTGGTAATTAATGTGCATCATGTGATGAAAAATAGAGAACAATAGGCAGCGTTTGAAAAAGAATTTCAGATGCACAGTAGCAGGACATAAGAACGGCCATACTGGGTCAGACCAATGGTCCATCTAACCCAGTATTCTGTCTTCTGACAGTGGCCAGTGCCAGATGCTTCAAAGCAGTGGTGCTTAACTTTATTACACAGGAGGGCCACACATATCTAAGCACAACCTTGTGTGGGACAAACAGATTCTACATATTTTAATAAGATTTAAAGTCACCTCTATTGATTTATATTTTAAGTTCAGCTTGTTTTGTATATATTTAGATAGAAACAAACTATGTACAATATTGTCTATTTACACAGTGTAAACTAAAATGATGTAAACATGATGACAAAATGCAAATGAATGGGCTGTTAGTTTATTGTGTTGAAGCAGACATAGGGCCTTATGAAATGCTCTGGTGGGTGTATGGTCTGAGGGCCGTAGGTTAGGTATCCCTGCTTCAAAGGGAATGAACAGAACTGGGCAACCATCAAGTGATCCATCCTTTGTTGCCCAGTCCCAGCATCTGGAAGTCAGAGGCTTAGGGACACCCAGAGCATGAGGTTGCATTCCTGACCATCTTGGCTAAAAGCCATTGATGGAACTATCCTCCATGGACTTCTCTAATTCTTTTTGAACCCAGTTATACTTTTGGCCTTCACAAAGTCCCGATTCACAGGTTGACTGTGCATTGTGTGAAGTAGTACTTCCTTTCATTTGTTTTAAATCTGCTATCTATGAATATCATTGGGTGACCCCTGGGTTTTATGTTATGTTCTCTCCACACCATTCATAATTTATTATACAAAATATTGTATTTCTCTCTCTCCAACTTCTCCCATAAGATGAATTTTCGTAAAGCTGTTTTCTTCTGGGATTTGAAATGGTCCACAGAGGGACAACAGCTGGAACCGAAGTCTTTTCATCTGAACTTCATTTCCAAGTCCTGAAATAGTTAGACACGGTTGGCTGATTCTCCTCTGTGAATTGCTCCAGTCAGTTCTCTCTCTTCATCCCACAAACTCATGATGTGATTGATTTAACTAATTTGTTGGGACATAAGATAAAATGGAATAACCAGAATAGTGTGTCTGCTTGTGTGAAAGTGAGACCTTGTCCATCTTAGGCGAGAACTTCTTCAGCATCCCTTTGTTGTCAGTTTAGTTGCACCAGTACTGGCCGCAGTTTAGCTGTAAATAGAGTCAACAAATTGGGGTCAGCCTATAGACAAGATAAGGCTTGAGAGATGTAGGGAAAGGAAGAGGAAAAAATGTCATGAATGGTTTATAACTGTATTAGCACTTGTACACAGGATACTTTAACTTTTAGCTTTTGCTAATTCCATACAGGGATAGGGGTGATTGGACAAATTATATTTTCTTAGATCTGAACTTCAAGGCTGCTATGTATATCTCCATGGTAGGCTGAGCCAAAAGGCTGAATCTGATCACCCCTGAACTTTGCCGAAGTTCAGATCCAGAGCCAACATGGTGACTGGGACCATATCTAGAAGAAAGCCCAGGTAACTGTTTCAGACATGCACATGTGATTCTAGGCACTGCCCATCTTTAATAGAGGCAGGTGAATAACTTTTAAAGAACAATTTATTCAGTGACACTAGTTCTCTAGAACTGTCTGGAAACAGACTTTTGAAAAATATGATTGCTGTTAGCAATTGACTGTTTTTGCCTATATCTTTGAGTATTAAATATTGACAATTGGTCACCTGGGTCATGTCACTGTTTATGTTTTCTGGTTTGATTACCTAGTTACCGTGGCTGCTTCTCCCACAGTGAGTTCTGTTTAATCACAAATTGAAGTTCATTCTGTTTATTAGTCACTAATGTATCTCAATAGTCTCCCAGCTCTGTTTTCTATAAGCATCATTTTTGTTGGCTACTTTTTGGAGTAAATAGATTTGTTTCAACATAAGAGATGTTATTTCATTGTCATACTCAGGTGATGTAGCCATTCCATTTTTACATATCTAACGGTTACAAATAATAATGACACGATTTGAAGATTTTCATTAATGAAGTTATTGTTTCCAAAACATATCAAAGATTCGTCCTGAATGATGTTCTCACATGCCTCTCCTAGATAGTTGTAGCATTATAAAAACCCACCAGTGGATTTCTGTCCTTGTTGACATCCTGTGATCCTGTCCCAACCATGTTGTTAGTTGTTTTGCTAATGGCCTATACAGTAACCTACTGTACCACAACTTACATCAGCTATAAATCAGTGCACCTCAACACCGGACAATCTGCCATTGTTCATGAACGAGCTAAGCCATAAATCGTAACCAATTACACGTAACTGCCCCAGCCCACCATCGCTTTCTTTTTTGCCAGTTCTCAGACTTTTAAAAAAACAGAACAGGATACTACAGTGAGTCCACTGTGATTTCAGATGTCTTTTTATAGGTATTGTAGACGGAATGTGCAGTATCTAATAAAGGTCAGCTGAACAGTTATTTGAATGGCAGAATAAAGTAATTACACCGATACCATCTTGACAAAAGACGACAAAATTAGTTTATTTGCCTTTCAAGTGTTGGTCAGGTTTTCAACTACACCCGGGGCCTAATAATAGAAAAGAAAGAAGTGTAGCCCTACAAGGAAAGAGAACAAGCTAGACTTTTGTCCTTCATTTTGACCAAGAGTGGTAATCTTCAGAAGTAGTGCAGTGTTTTCCCAGCCTTCTGCAGAGCAGATGCTCACAGGCAGCCAACCAACTCTTTTTAAACAATGTTCTTTATTTTCAGTGTCGCAAAGACAAACCTCCATGACAAAGACCCATGGCAGAGTCACTGACTGCTTGCTGCAGGGCCCAGTACCCAGTACTATCTCTCACACATAAAAAATCATAACCTCTTTCTAAACTTTGAACTCCCCCACAGCAAGATTTATTTATTTGGTAGACTATGAATTTAGAGAACATCCCTTGCCCAGTTTTCCAGTGATTTCCACTCTGATAGCCTTGCATTCTTCATTTATATCTGATATTGACAGACACTGGGGCTGAGGATGGTTGAACAGTTTCAATAAAGTTAGAAAGCTGGAGGGGGGGGGGATATGAAAATGAGTTTGGTCTCATTTTTGTCCCTAGTGGATATTTTTTTCCATATTACAAAAACCAGACTAGAGCTGGTTAGAAAATGGGTTTTTCTCATTGTGGAAATTGAGGTTTTAGGCAGTAGAAGTAACAGGTATTCAAATCCTAACTAAAGTGAATTGCCAAGCTCTGCAGTGAGCAGAGCTCACTGCCGTCTGTCGTCAGCCATATGCTCATGTTCATAACCATTAAATTCTCTCACTTGTATGATGACCCATTACTTGCCAATTCTTAGCAATAGATTCCTCCTGAACCTTCCTCAATTGGTGTTGATTGCTGAATGCATTATGACTGGTAATGCAGATGGGACAGAACTGTCTTCAATGCTGTTAAAGGAGGAATAGCACGCATGTGGTGGAACATTAGCCCAGATTCACAAAAGCATTTAGGCTCCATTGATTGGGCTGTTGCCTCTATGATGCTTTCTGTAATAGTGATGAATCTCCCTCCCCCCAACTCTGTCATTTCCTAAGTTTGTACCGAAACTCACACAATGGGTCCCTGATGTGGTTGACCTCAAGTGGCGATTACAATATATGTGTTAAATAATCAAAAATAGCAGCCAAGCTGTTTTCCACACCACTGAAGGGAGATCAGGGGAAAAGTGTTACTGAAAAACCCTTGCCAACAACAGGTGACTTTCTAGTGTGACGGGCATTTGGTCAATTGAGAGAGAATTCAGTGCTCATGAAAGCGAGACTATCCTTAGCCTGAGCTAAAAATAGGGATCATCCTCAAAGCTCTGTCAATCAGCCCTAGCTCTGATTTGAACACAGATGCGGTCCTGTCATTTGCCTTTCTGAAACAGAAATAAAACAGGCCACATTGTGTCATTTGAGTAAATACCCATTAGCATATTGGGCTGAGACCTACAGACCCACTGATGCCTTACGGTAAATTTGATGAACAGTCTACCTAAGAAAAATTCCACTAAACATTTTCTGTAGTGATTTTTCTCTTTTGCTTCCCTCCCCCTCCCCCCAATCCACATGAATGACAACTGGATTGTTGTTTCTGAGGAGTTAATCTGTTCCTCAGGATTATTTCCCATCTGAAGTCACAACCTATGTGTGTGATATCACAATTAGTTGCTGTGGATATTATGGCACAAACATAGGAAGTGGACTTTGGGTGGTGAATTGGAGAAACAATGGATGAACATTAATAAGGATCTTATATTCATGTAAGTCATTTAAAAATAAGTGAACAAGCTCCTTTTGTCATCCAAAGAGTTAGAGCCAGACATTCTGTAGCATAAAGTAACTATCATAAGTCGGAGGATGAAGCAGTGCCAGTAAGCTTTGCTTCTTTTGCAAAGATGCTGTGGGAGCACCAAAGTGCTGGGTTCAGCAAGAGCTGATGTAACCCTCCTGCCAGGCGGAACCAGCAGCAACCAGGACCGGGTTCAATATCTAGGGGTTCCTTTCCATCGATACAACATCCTCTTGAGCCCCCACCCAGTAACCTGGGAAAATTACACACCACTCCTGGGCACCTCTGAGAGGCAACACTTTCCCCACTTGCAAGCACAGAGTCTGAGTGTAGAAAAGAACCTTTTTAATAAAAGGAGGAAATTAATTCAGTGTTAATTTGGAAAAACACCTCAAACGGGGTTCATAAACATAAACTATGAGCAAAAGACCCACCCCCAAGTAAGTTGGGCAGTTTCCTTTTCCCCTCAGGTTCTTAAGTCCAGCAACCCCAAAATCCTTTTAACATGCTCATCCCTTCTCTGCTCCCCACTCACACTTGCTGTCCTTGGTCAGTGCAGACCCAGAGTTCAGAGGTGCATCTGCAGAGTTCACCTCCCATCCTGGGTGGAGGTAAGGAGGCACCTTATGCACTCTGCTGCTTGGGCACTCGCCCACCGCCCCTTTCTGCCAACTGCCCTGCTGGCCGCTTGTTCACCAGCCAACTGTCAGTCACCCTCTGCTGCCACTTGCCCCTCTGCTATTACCTCTGAACATCAGTCTCTTAGTAATTTTCAGCTCTTTGCAGGCTGGGCAGAAACACTGCCCCATCTCAAGTGATTTTAGTTCTCAGTGACTGAGCATTTAAAATAACAAAAGAAGTTCTTAATGAAGCCTATTTAGCTCTTTCTTTGAACAGTGTGGAGGAACAAGTTAAACCAGTCTAGGGAGGACCCTTGGGGAGGGTTCACAACCTCTTGGCTGGGATATCTATGCTCACCCCTCTTACTGTTCACAGGCCTCTGGCATTCGAGTCCCTGGCTTAATGAGGTCCTTTCAGCTGAGGGTGACCCCTTCATTTGGGACAGGTTAAGCACAGTTCTGCTCCCCTTTATTCACAATAATGCCAATATTGGTAACAGCATTTCACTAATACTGCATTCAGTACTGAGGTGATTTGTAATCAAACACCAGCCAAAGCTGATCACTTTGAGCAGCACACCACTCTATCTGCTGAATATCTAAGCAGAGTAGGTGTGTTCATTTAAAAACAGTTTGCTCTTGAAATCTCTCCCCCGCCCAGCTAGCTGTCAGGGAAGAATTCAGTAGACCCTGCCTACACTGAGAGGTCTCAGAAACGTGTGGGTGTATTTTCCACATCCCAGTACTATCCTGGGGCCCAGTCCTGAAGTCCTTACTCAGTGTGAGTTTTGGTTGAATAAAGACATGGAATTTAAGACTTGGGTCTCATATGGGCACAGAAACCCACCCATTCCTGAGTCCCTGAAAAAAGCTACAGCAAGATTCAGAGAGGCAGGTAATTGCACTTCCCTGCCTCACAGGGTTATTGTGAGGATGACATTAAAGATTGTGCGGTGCTCCGATACTATGGTGACAGGGGGCCAGATGAGTACCTTAGATAGAAAGATTTTTAGCCCATGTACAAGAAAGCTATCTGCAACTCCAGTTTCCTACACATGCTGTGATTGCATAAGAAGAATATCAGAATTCAGTGTCCTATATAGAGTGTGTTTTTTATGTACTTTCTGAGCTAACCTGGATTAAGCTTGGAGTTCGACAAAAATAATTTCTGACTCAAGTCCTTGCTTCCTCTAATGCACTGGGCTATTTCTAAATCTGTGGCAGCGATCTGTTGATTATGT